ATGTGGGAAAGAGAAGGGGACTGCAAAAGAGATGGAGAAGCACAGCCCTGAGGCGAATCAGCTGGAGGTGCACAGAAGAGAAAAGGAGGGGGGAGAGAAGAGAGGATATAAAAGAAGGGAAGAGAGGATATAAAGGGGGAGAGAAGGGAGGAAATAAAAAAGGAGAAGAGGATATAAAAAGGGAAGATGATATAAAAGAAGGGAAGAGGATATAAAAAGGGAAGAGGGTTTAAAGAAGGGAAGAGGATATAAAAGAAGGGAAGAGAGGATATAAAAGGGGAGAGGATATAAAAGAAGGGAGACAAGAGGATATGAAAAGGGAAGAGGATATAAAAAGGGGGAGAGAATATATAAAAGAAGGGAAGAGAGGATATAAAAAGAGGATATAAAAGTAGGGAAGAGAAGAGAATATAAAAGGAAGAGAAGAGGATATAAAGGGGAGAGAAGAGAGGATATAAAAGAAAGAGGATATAAAAGGGGAAGAGGATATAAAAGGGGGAGAGAAGATATAAAAGGGATGAGGATATAAGGGGGAGAGAAGAGGATATAAAAAAGGCAGAGAAGATATAAAAGCGAGGATATAAAAGGGGGAGAGAAGAGGATATAAAGGGGAGAGAAGAGGATATAAAAGAAAGGAAGAGGATATAAAAAGGGAAGAGGATATAAAAGGGATGAGGATATAAGGGGGAGAGAAGAGGATCTAAAAGAAGGGAGAGAGGATATAAAAAAGGCAGAGAAGATATAAAAGCGAGGATATAAAAGGGGGAGAGAAGAGGATATAAAAGAAGGGAAGAGAAGATATAAGGGAAGAGAAGAGGATATAAAAGGAGAGAGAAGATATAAAAGAAGGGAAGAGGATATAAAGGGAAGAGGATATAAAAGGAGAGAAGAGAGAATATAAAAGGGAAGAGGATATAAAGGGGGAGAGAAGAGAGGATATAAAAGAAGGGAAGAAAGGATATAAGGGAAGAGAGGATATAAAAGGAGGAGTGAATCTGGTTTCTCCATTGACTTTGTTTATCAGAAAGTTGCAAAAGGAAATCACATGTTCCTGGGACACTGTGACCCTAATAAATATGAATCCATTGCCAAGCATCCAAATGTAGATTGACCCTGGGGATGCTGCAACAGTCATGAGTGAAAAATGGTTATAAGTCACTTTTTCCAGTACCGTTGTAACTTTTAACAGTCACTAAGTGAACTGTTGTAATTTGAGGACTACCTGTACTTATCACTTTTTTCCTTTTTTTTTTTTTTTGGTCATCAAGTTTTTGATACCTTGCTAGGTGACTGGTGGTACTCAAATATTGCCATACCCTAAAAGTGATACAATCTGTGAAAAGGTTGAAAAGCCCTGATCTAGTCTACTATAGATTTCTAATTGTTTCTTTGACAAGTGGAGGAACTTAACACCAATACACTCCTTGTTTTCTTTGGGAAAGCCTTAGCTACTGAAACACTTGAAAGAGACCCTTCTCCTGATGTTTGCATGTTTTCCTCTAGGATGAGGTTATGAAAATGTTTGTTCAGCTCCAGCAGTTGTTGGGAGAGTCTTCCAATTATTTTGTTCTACAAGTAAGATGCTACCTATGGTCTTGATCTTGGGGTTCACTTTTTCTGATAGTTTCTTTGTTGTTTTGCTCAGATTGGAAATAGGGTTTCTTTGTCTTAGTAGTTGTTTCCTTATTGCTGTTTAGTTTTGATACAGACCTGTCATAATAAGTGTATACATGTTGAACCACAATTCCAATAATTTGTAATCTTTGGACATAATACTGATGGGAGTAGGAGTCTGTTTCTATTGTGATAATGAAATCCAAAACTTCACATTCCCCTGTATTCTATATTAAAATAATTAGTGGAAAGAATAATATCCATTATGACTCAACTTCTGATTTAAAAAGATTAATGTGAATTTGAATGTACTAGTGTGGTATAGTGGCTTTGGTGCTGGGTTGACACTGTGGAGTGTTTAATTCTGCTACCCCAATTCCTTGCTAAAATCACTGATGTCAAAAGTTGGCTTCAGTTAATACCCTTGCATTGGGCTACATCAACTGTTCAATAGTGTTGTTTTTTTTTCAGGGAGCTTGCTTTTTTGATCAGTCCAATTAAAAACTCCTAAAAATATAGCTAAATGGTATCAGCTAGAACAAGGGGAAAGTATTAGAGGTTCCAGAAAATCATAATTACTACAATCCATATAGCACTACAAAAATCAGGAAAATCTGATCACCTATACAGATAGAGGGGAAAAGGCACAGATCGTCATATGAATGCCAGATCATTTTAGTGTATTGATTGTTCTAAAAAAGAGAGAAGACAACAATAACAGAATATAGGGTGATATTTTAGAACTTGCAAATCATTTACATGTTCACAAAGAAATGTATTGATTTTTTTCCTAACATAAGTCAACCTTCATGAGGGCATTATTCTACAAGTGTCATTATAAAAGCTGGAGAGAATGGTTGCATCCATTTCTAGGTCTTTAACATCTTTTAAATATTAAAAACTGTCAACTGATTTCAACTACCACAGGAAGTAGAAACTAATCACCCATTCCTGTTGAAAAAGAAGAGTCATGGATGGAAATCCCAATAGCTGCACAGAACACTCAAGGAAATGCAGAGATATGATCCAAAGTTGTATACCTTAAACCAGGGGTAGGCAATCTTGGTTCTTTTATGATTCGGCTGGCTCAGGAATTCTGGGAGTTGAAGTCCACAAGTCATAAAAGAGCCAAGGTTGCCTACCCCTGCCTTAAACCAGCATTGGCCTTACATCTAGAAAACTATCTCTTTGTATTTGCCCAGTTGTATCATCTCATTCTAAGTCAGCTGTACATCTGCCTTTGTTGAACAGGCAGCTCACTGATTTATCTAAAATTCTGTTAAAATCGTGAGGGCGTCTGCATATTCCTCAAATTAATGATCTATGCAAGATTGCACAAAAGGGCCTGCTGATGCAAGATCAAACAGCAGTTGGGTGCTTGTTCTCCTTCACAACAGTCTTCAGAGATACAAAACTTCTGGACTAGTTCTAGCTGTCGGTTTATCTGCATAAAAGAATCTGAGGCCAAAGCACATTACCTCCATCCCAAATTAGTCAAGGCATGATGCTACATCAGATGCTTTTGTATTCCACCCCTCTCACTTTTCTCCTAGCTTCTCTGATGTTTTTCCAAACAGGGCAGGCAGGTCCTCTGATCCTCCACATGTCATTGAAGCAAAATCCCCAGCAGTCCTTATGCTGTAATAAGATTCTGGATATTATAATTCCCCACTTCTGCTGATGATGTAGGCCTTCCCTCTTCCCCATTACAAAGCACTGTTAAAAATTTATTATAATTAGTACCATCAGTCGTAAGCCTGTTTTTTTTAATAACGTCTGTGGCATCCGATTCTATTAATGTAACTACAAATATCAAAACAAATGTAATCAAAGGCTGATCCAAATATGTATATTAGGCCCATGCATCATTCATTGCTGTACCAGCATATGTGCTAAAGAATACTTCTGTTAGAAAACAGAGGCAGGAAAAGATGAACTTCTTCATAGCACAAGGGGGCCAAGTGAGACATAACTACATGACTACAAGTTTGAGTCTAGACATAAATAGCAAGAAGCAATGAGGCACTTAATGCGTGTGTGTATGCAAATGCATGCATGTGTATCTTATGAGTAAGTAGGATGGTCAGATATTTGGGGCCAGAGGGTTGATAAATCATGTACAGAATATAGAGGCAACATAAACCGGAGACAAATAGCTTTATAAACACCGCAGCACACACCTGGATATGAATGCCATATCTGAGGAGGCTTCTCTCAGATGCCATCCAGCTGCAATATCATCTAAATTGTGGGCTATCCCTCACATAACATTGACCAAACTTGTAACAAAAATATAGTTATAGGACGAGGCACATCCTGTACCACAAAGACCTGGGTGGGGCTTGCTAAGTAAAGCAAGCACACCTGCACATTCTGGGGCATCTGTACCATCACCAGAAGCTCAGTCCATGGTGGGAACATCCAAATTGTACCTCGCTTTCCCACATGGTAAAGGAATAGCCAGGCTGTCATATATATAGAGAGAGCATTCCATCAATTCTGGATCCTGTGGGACATCCACACTCAGACAGATAGGCAGGTACTAGCCAATCAGCCGGACCTCATGTTAGTAGACAAGGGCCAGAAGGCAGCAGTGGTGATAGATGCAGCAGTGCCAAGTGACAGCAACAACCGAAAGGAGAAGTCGGAGAAGTACGAGGGCCTGTAGGAGGAACTACAGAAGAGGTGGAAAGTAAAACCAAAGTGGTCCCAGGGATGGTAAGGCGAGTCCTGAACTGGGAGAGTAGCTACAACAGATCCCAGGAACAACATCAGGTCTCTCTGTCCAGAAGAGTGCAGTGCTAGGAACAGCTAAGAACTCCCAGGTCTCTGGCAGAAGACCCAGGATTGGGGAAGATACATACTTCCCATGGGGGTGAGAAGGGAATTTTTAATACTGCATCAAAAGTCAGACCCCATAGACCAGTGGTGGCGAACCTATGGCACGGGTGCCACAGGCAGCACTCAGAGCCCTCTCTGTGGGCAAGTGTGCCATCGCCCCAGTCCTAGGCATTCAGCTGGGTGTTATATAACCTTTTTGCTTTAGGCCTCTGCCGCCGTGTGCAAAAAAAAAAGGTTCAATCAATCAGTCAATTTCAACTTCTCGTGGGAAAAAAAAAGATCTTGCAAAGTTGGAATTGATTGATTGAACTTTTTAGTCCCACCCAGTCTGCCGTTACCACCACAGCCACGCCCACCCAATGGGCCAAGCCCAGCCAATGGGCCAAACCCACCCGGCACCCGACAATGCATAAGTGGGTTTTGGGTTGCAGTTTGGGCACTCGGTCTCTAAAAGGTTCGCCATCACTGCCATAGACAACATAAATAATATTAAATATTTGAATTGGTTACCATTCTCTTCTAAACAGTTGATACATGACTTTTGAATATTCCTAAGTACGGTAACATTTTCCTCTGGGAAAAAAACCAACCCCTGAATAAAGCATACTGCGATTGACTAATAAGGCCTGACTTTTGGTAGCCCATACTTGAGACTTCAACACAACCAAGGAACCGAGGGAGAAAAAGGTCAAGATTCTTCTGAAAAGAGGTGTTCTAGGAAGAACTTTTATATAAAATTAACCTAAATTGTTTTTACTGCCTTAAAAACCAATTGAAATGGTCTTTGTCGGATACAGAGCGTAATGACATCGAAACCTGCTGAGCTGAGCTGCATCTGTTCAACATGTCCCCCTCCCAACATGTGGGAGTCTGTGTAAAAGGCCTATGATTAAGAGAATAAAACTTCTCGAATGAGTACTGCAAAATTGCCTCCGCCCCACATTCATGCACAGAACAGGAGAGCAGGAGATGGTGGAACTAAGTAGAGGCCACCATTTCCATATCAGGTTCCTCAGGCTGCAAGGGACTGAGGCTTCCCATAGGCACTGCCAGGAAGTTGTGATATCAACCCCATTGTTGGCATCTGAGAGAATCAACCCATTAAACCCTGAGACGAAGAGAAAAGCTTCCCCTTGCACCGTCTCTCTCCCGGTCCCCTTCTTCAGCATCCACGCGGCGTCATAGCTCATCCCGGGCTGTCCTGTCGAGTGAGGACTGGAGCACATCTGAATTCCTGGCTTCATTCCTCAACTCCTGCTGCTCCTTCATTTTCTGGGACTTGGCCCGGTCCCAATCCGTTTTGACGTTCTCATTGTTCCACACTACGGAGGTCTCGGTGTCGCTGATGTAACCATCATCCCCTGTGTAGTGTGTTGGATAAACCAGCAGGGGCTCCACTGAGAAGGCCAGCAAATTTCGGTTGTCAAAATGTTCCATGTATTCAGTACTGTTGAATAGGAAATGAAAGTCGGGTCAAAATAAGCGCCTTCCCTGGATTTGGGATTGCTACAAAATACACGCGTGACTGAAGAAGCGAGTGTAGAAAAGTACAAAATAAACAAGATATTTGGGGTGGGGATTGGCTGGAGGGAGAAAGGGGCCGACAGGAGTCACAGCCCATATTCATTTCAAATTACAGCAAAGGCAGTATTATCTCTATCCCCTAGTTTTTGTAAAGAAATACCCTGTATCAAGCTCCTTTCTATCTAATTATATATCAAATTAGTCAGGAAAATATTTCATAAATTGAAGAGGATGAATGTATACCTTGAAGATTTAATTCATCCCTCTCCATTTACAGATTCAGGAAGATAACGCTTACTCCTTTAGGAGTTTCTCACCAAAATGGGTAGGAATAGGAATAGGAATGGAATAGAATAGAATAGAATAGAGTAGAATAGAATTAGAATACACAGAACAGAATAGAATAGAACAGAATAGAATACAGAACAGAACAGAACAGAATAAACAAAGTTGGAAGGGACCTTGGAGGTCTTCTAGTCCAACCCCCTTCTTAGGCAGGAAACCCTATACCATTTCAGACAAATGGTTGTCCAATCTCTTCTTAAAAACTTCCAGAGTTGGAACATTCACAACTTCTGAAGGCAAGTTATTCCACTGATTAATTGTTCAACTGTCAATATTTAAAATACTCTGCTTGGTGCATAGAAAACTTTACTCGGCTTTGCTCTGAAATTACTTAGTAATTAGGACACCTATGTTCTAGAAAAATCAGGATTTTTTCCAAAAGACAAACATCAGGAGGGAAAGCAAAACTTTATATTTAAGAGCCATCTAATAAAAAGCTGAGACCCAGTATGGTGTGCTATGTAAGGCACCAGGGTAGAAATTGGGAGACCATGAGTTGTAGCCCTATCTTAGACCCAAAGCCAGTTGGGTGATGTTGGGCCAGTCACTCTCTCAGCCCTGGGAAGCAGGCTATGGCAAACCACTTCTGAAATCTTGCCAAGAAAACTGCAGGCATTTGTTCAGGCAGTCGCCAGGAGTCAAGACACAAAATAAATGAATCAACAGCTATGATATTCCACTTGTGTCCATTCTCCAACAACACAGTAATCTATCCCCTCCATCCAACCAATTCAACTTTTGGGGCTATAAATTCCTTAGGATAATGTGGAGAATCTGCATTTTCTAACAGGGAATGGACAGCTATATCTATTTAGGAGCTTCCTCTGAGGGTTTTCTCAGAGCAGGCAGTGATACTGTCAAAATAGCCCAAAGCAAAGATTCTGGTCTATTTCTTAAGAGCCAAAACTGCTATTGACAATGGCTTTTATGCTGCCAAATCTCAGCAGTACAATCCTAGGGGATTCGGGAAAGGAATGCTGATTGCATTGCCCATCTTTTTCTATCAGGTGGAAGATCTTTTAGCTCCACTGTAAGAAATAAAAAACTTATGTAAACTTCCATAAAGTTCCCATTTTGTTTTGGGGTGTTTTTTTTTTTCACAAAAAGGCAAGCCTTACACAGGGTGTTTGTTAAACATGACTGGAAGAAACTCATCCACTGGCAACATTTTGGAGAGGGGTTCAGCATCCAGCAGTTTCTTGGCCCCTTGAAGGGAGATGACATAGCCCAGTGTCCAGTAGGAGTAGTCAGCTTCCACCAGATTGCGGATGTGGGGCACAGCTTTCTCTGGATGCTCTACCTGCATGCGCTTCCGTCCAATGTAGCTAGAGGGGGATAGAGAACACAAAACTCAGGAAAAGTAGCCATAGCATGCATGAAGGATAAGTAGATGTTACCAACAACTGAAAAATTCCTCTTGAAAATTGTCTTGACAGCACTGGATTTAGGGTTTTCTGATAATGCAGCTGGAAAAGTGAGGGGAGAGTCTGTTTAAATTGCCAGTCTCTCCTTTCCCTTAATGTAGTTATTAGGTTTGAAATTAATACGGTTTCATTCATACTTTTCATTAATATTATACTTTATTCTGTTAGTTTTGCACAATAAAATTGTTTTAAATGGCTTTTATTGCTACTTGACTGTTCTAAAGACAGTGTAATCATCATGTATGGTGCTACTCTATAAGCAAAATATCCAGAAAACTGAACTATTTTGGTACAATTCCAATTTGTAAGTTTGGGGCTGCAATCTACAAATCGGCTCTGAAATTCAACTTATACAACCCCGTATTAGGATTCTTGCTATTCCCAGTGTAACTAAAATTGCTCTCAATGAGTGTATGTTTCAATTCCAACTTTCAGCTGGAGCCTTCTTAGAAAAAGTGCATTGCGTTGTCCCTACCACTGTTGATTTTAACATTTAAGGTGCTTATTTTAATCATACTCAGGTTCAGCCACCTGCATCCATAGTTCACCAGTTCACCCATTCATCCCACCATTTATATAACAGGTGAGGTTTGTATATTTGCGCAAGCAAGGCAAAAAAGAAATAATGTTCTGTGGGAAGGGGGTGGGCAAGATTTCCTAGCCAGCAACAACCTGAGCATGTTCTGCACTCACATTAAATCCCAGTCCAGGCCCTCTTCTTCTAAGTCATACATGAGGTTCATCATGCGCCGTTTGAAGAAGATCTCAAAGCGCAGGTCATCCTCAAACACCACCGACTTCTCCAGGCCTCTCTCAATGATCTGTCAAAGCAACAAAATGCTGTTTAGCTCCTTTTCTGAGGATTCAATGTATTTAATAGAAACATTCTCATCTTGGTTTTCCTAGCAGGTTTAAACCATTCAGCTGCTTTTTTTCTCCCTTATCTCCCATTTCAAACGTCTATGGAGATTCTCAGTCATCCAGATCATGGTTGCCCCAAAGGTGCTTTTTCACGAGGCAATTGGACTTTCAAGTCTTGCAAATAAAAGTATCTTTGAGACATCTCCCATTTCAATTCTAGAAATGGAATTGGCCCACCCCATTCATTCTGACACAAAGGGACCCTGTCTGTCAAGAAATTTTGGTTCAGGAGAAGAGCTTTTTCTGCTGTGGCCTCAGCCCTTTAGAACATCTTGCTGCTCTAGGTGAGATCCTCCCCACCCATTTGACCTTCCAAAAGGGCCTTAAAGCCAGGCTCTGCCATTGGCTTGGAGCTCTGATGGGGGCACTCAATGCTGAAAGTAGCTGGTGTGTTAACAGAGAAGATGTTTGTTTTATTAAATTTATTAAATTTATATGCCTCCCTTCTCACTATCCAAAGCGACTCTGGGCAGCTTACAATTCAATAAAAGCAGGAATATAAAAAAGAATTAAAATTACTTTATTAGTTAACTTTATTAGTTTATTACTTTAGTTTAAAAGTAATTTTAATTCTTTTTTATATTCCTGCTTTTATTGAATTGTAAGCTGCCCAGAGTCGCTTTGGATAGTGAGAAGGGAGGCATATAAATTTAATAAAACAAACAAACAAACAAATGAATCAGGGTTCCATAATCAAGTATCCTCCAGGTAGGTAAAATTGTATTTCCCATAATTCCTAGAGCTACTACCTAGAATTACAAGGCAACACACCAACTAATTTTATTTATTCATTCATTTTTTTATACTGCCCATCTCCCCTGCAAGATGACTCCAGGCAATTTATTTATAAATAAATGCTGGATAAGCTCAAAATTCATGCATGGGTTGAGAACACTGAGCTTTGTAATATGGAAATTGGGGAACACTCAGAAGAGGGAAGATTAGGGGTTCCCTCGCTCACTACCTTTATGCACCTTGCAGTTAAAAACCCGGGGACTTATGTTTGTCACTGATGGAATAACTTGACCTGACCAGTAGATGGCAGCCCAAACCAAGAGATGCAGTAAGATTCAGATCCAGTGAATTAGTTCCTGAGTCTTCATGTATTCTTCTTGCTGTTTTGGCAGACAGAGAGAAGAAATCCCAACCACAGTTTGGTTTTGCTGCCAAAAAGAGCCAACACCCCAGCAGTGAAAGTACACCATCTACAAAGGTTCTTTTCAGTGCTCCTAAGTCGGAGCCTGAAACAGCTGCTTTTTCCATCAGCTTCTGCTTACTGAAATAGTCATCTTAGGCAGAAGTCACCCAGAACATCATCTATCAAAGACATGCAACAGCTTTAAAAAAATTCATCCATTTTAGGCTGGTCTGTGACTATAATAAATATCTGATCTGATTAAATCCATTCATTAAAATCCTGATCCTCACTCTACAGCACAAGGGGCTGAATTCTGCAAATTGACTGGCAGGCTTAATCATCAAATTTTCTTTCTTTTTAAATAAACAATGTGAGATTTGGGGGGAATTGGATTTAGAGCTATTCCAAGTCCTGTCATTCTCGTTGCATGTGTTTTGTGTTTCTGTCTGCATATGCACAACATACCAAATCCATCTTCTAAACAACAAAGATAATGGTGTCTGGCTTTTATTTTGCAGTATAAACATTGTTTACCTCTTTCCAAACTTTATAGTGGCTGAGAAAGCAACCCAATTCTCCCTTTGTGAGTGGACGTCCATGGTATGGGTCCTTGTAACCTGGCAACATCTTGATGCCCATGGCTTCCACTTGGCTGCTATTCATTGCCCTGAACCAAAGAGAAGAAAAAGAGAGAGAGAGAAAGGGTAATTGACAGGACAGGCATTACCTGAGAACTGGATGCAAACCCAACATGGTTTAAACTTCCAAATCTCTGCCACAGACACCAGCTGTTGAAACAAAAGTAATGATTTGCAGGAAAGCAATTTTATCTAGATCAGCCTGGGAATTTTGGAGAGTGTCAAGCTAGAGAAGTCCACATACCTCAACTTCAGGTGGAGCAGAAGCTTCCAACTAGCATAGAATTCTTCACCCAAGTAGCTGAATCTCAGTACAAAATTCGAGATAACACAAAATCTTGTGTACTATTATCCCACTTGAAGATCATTTGCCAATCCCCCTTTGCTCATGGGCTGGAGCAAAAAGCTTCTGATTCTCACAATTCAGACCAAGGGAAGACGTTGATGTTCATCAAATTAGATTTGCCCCAGACTGTTTGCTCTTATGAACTGTGGCTCTCCAAAAGGAATCTCTGGCCCAGAAAACATCACAGACTTAGTGCTCCTAGCAACCCCAGAAAAGCTTCATCCATGGTGAAAATGCTGAACAGAGTAGTTCAGCCACTGCTACAGGGCCACCAGTTGCTCACCTATGCCATAAGAAAAAAAGGGATGGTCTTACTATCTGCTGATTGAGATAAAAGCCAGAGAATCAGCATAGGATTTTCAATGTAAGAAAGTTGGGATCTCCCCCTAGATTTGAGCTACTTGCTTTAATTGGGGCATGGTTAAGGGTTGCCCATTCCCATACAACGATATAAGAACCTTCAATCACTGTGTGATTGGACTCAGACTCCCTACTCAATTCTGGGGACAAAGCCACTAAGGTTTGTATTCTCCAGCAAGGCTTCATCTGACGACACTCACTTCCCATCTACAGCTTCAACAATTTTGCAGTCAATCTCCTGCTCATAGAGGGTTTTCAACATCCGTTCCCGTCGATCTGTCCGACGTTTGAGATTAATCATGAAGACCTGAGAAGAAAAATAACAACATGGTAAACAGAACTACAAAGCAAAGGACACATGGGCAAATCTAACGGTTCAATAATAATTAGGTCATGGAATTCCATGGGAATAGAGAACTATGGCTTCTTACAACTATGGCTTCTTATAGCTCTGGCTGATACTGCGAATGGTAAGAGATGCTATGAGGCCATAGTCATTGGAGAGTCACAGCTTTCTCCTTCCCAATCCAGAAAACTTCCCAGCGCAGCAATTTATTTGCAAATGTCGCATTTATGCAGAGATCCTCCCCACTCAAGTTCAATTATTATTATTATGTTTTCAGTACAGGTATTCAAAGGTTGTAAGGACAAGGATTGATCATAAAGTTACTTTTTCATCACTGTCATAATTGTGACAAGGCAGTCACTAAATGAGGAGTAGCTGTACTGCATTCTGGGCCTAAAGATGGCAGACCTAGATTAAATTTCAAAATATCTAAAGCATTCCTTGGTCAATTTTAGAAAAAAAGAGATGAATCAAATCCCCCCTCTAAACAATGTTCTGATCTGGCAACGCAGCTGAAAAACATAATATAGTGCACAGAAATAATCTTTGGCCAGCATTTGGGAATTAAATTTTACTGATTTGTCCTAATTGTTTATAATTTCTATAAATGTATCCCAATTCTTCATTTCTTACCTCATCAAATCCCATCTTATCTGGGATTTTGGGAAGCAGAGACAAATACTGAGAAAGTTCCACTGGAGGGTTCTTAACTGTAGAGAAAGTCAATACAATGAGATGCATGGTCTTTTCCGAGGAAACATTTATTTTTAAGGAGAAGGAGCTACTCCCAGATTCTTGGTCCAATTTTAGGCATAAAACAAGTAGACCAATTAGGTTCATCTCTATGAATAGCAATGAAGCCAAACAGCCCATGAAGCAAATTCAGATGGGGTTTAAAAAAATGGATTTCCTACTCAAAAAATGAATTCTTAACTTCTTGAACCTTGGGACTCTAGTATGGTCAAATTTACACCAGGATTGTAAACAGAATTTCGATGCCTACAATAAATTAATTTATGTACAAATAAGCAGTGAAATTTTATAGAATATAAAATATAATAAACATAAAAAAATAATTATTGTATTGGTACATTGGAAAAATTCTGTAATTGGGTAATATTTTTTATTAGGGCTAACCAAAATGACACAAAAGACTGTATATGCCAGTACATTTTAAAATCAAATGTATTCCTATTTTAACTCATCCTTATACCAGTATTTCCCTTTCTCTCATATTCTGTCCCAATTTCTCAGTCAGAATGTGGTCTTAATTTCCAGTGCAATTCATAACTGAGTAGAAATTTGAACGTAGGCCTCTTCAAATAAGTCAAGCTTTTAATGTGGACTAGAAACTTCAATGGACTAATGCAAGGCTCACTTTTTCATATGAAGATATGCATTATCAAAAAGGCTGCCCTTCAATCTGTTTCCATAAAAGAGGAAACCTCAAACTGGATGGAGAATTTGTTCATAAGTACTTTTTCACAAAATACTTTTCTGAGACTGGAGGTTCTGCTCCTTTAATGCAGACTTTCATAATATAAATCACACAATTTTCTCTTCCTCATCTTCTCTTGATTCAAACTGTTAGCACCCGTTACGTGTTTCTCATACCTCCCTGTTCAGGGCCTTCCTACCAGGTGAAATTATAGTTTTATTCAAATCTGCATGAATAAAAACCCATCCAATAATACAATTGAACATCATCCCTTTGTGGACATGTATGAACAAAGCAATCTGATACATTAAGGAAACTGATTTCTTTTCAAAGAAAAGGGTTTGAATACATTGCACTCATTCACCGCATGCTAAATTCTTTCACCTAAAATTAATACAGGAGCCCCCCCAATTACATCTGGTCACCTAGTGAACATTAGAAGTTACAACAGATCTCCCCAGGATTACTTATGACCTAGATTCAAAATTCCAGTGGCCACCCTTCCTGCGGTCACATGATCACATTTTGAAAATCTGGTAACTGGCCTGCATTAATGACCATTTGCAGTGTCCTGCAGTCATACGACTGGTATTTAGCACAATTTTTGCCAAAAACTAGCAATTACTTCGGGTTTCTAGCAAAAACACCTATTATGGACAATGGATTTACTTAACGACCACCGTGTTCACTTTACGCCCATTACATTTGCTTAATGACCACCCCAAAACTCATAAAATTGGTGAGGTCACATGGTGACCCATTTAGTGACCAGAATGACATCCACTGTAATTCTGGACTCAATTGTGGTTATAAATCGAGAACTACCTGTACTGCAGTTTATTTATAATAATAAATAATAAAATAAGCCTCTACATATTTACATACAGAGACAATGAAAACATTAAAAGTAACCTCCACTGATGTTACAGTGAAGTCTATTAAACTACAGAAATGCTTGAAATAAATACAGGCATGCCCATTTATTAGCTTTGTTTTCCAAAAGGAACAAGTCTTTGAAAAAAATCCAACATCCCAGAGCTTAATTTTTTTTCCCTGATGGCCTCCCAGGTTTCATGTGCAGAAAGGCTTGGACATCAGAAAGCTTCCGTGCAGCCTCACTAAGTCTTAGAAAGCATCCTTTGAAAAAGACTCCTATCTACTGAGCTTTTCACTCAGTAGGGTGACCTGTTGTGTTTAGACCTCATGAATTCAATGTAAACAAATAAAAGGGGGGTGGGGCAATGCTTGGCATACTGAATTACCCTTTCAATTCACAAAACAAACAAGTTATCAATGAAAAGTGATTGTCCTTTGAGCTAGCTCCTCTTCCACATTGACTGTATTTTCTCAAGTGGTGGCAAATTCCCCTTTAAGGGCAGTTGAAATTTTATAAAAGGATCGTTGTGGAGCCAAGGACATACAAAAAATAACTGTGAAACATCCCCACAAGGAGAATTCAACCAACTCCTTCAGACAGCCAAGATGGTGGGTTGCCTCAGAGGCCTCCCTGGCAACAGAGGACATTCTTGGGACAGATCCAGACTTTCCAATGGCTGCCATGTTCCCTGGCCTGTATATCTGCCAACTGGAGGTGGAGGAGGGACGGAATTGGCCATTTATAGAACAAGTTTGCCAAGCTTTTATCTAACCCTTTGCATTCTTTCACTGATAAGCAGGAGTAGAATTATACAAAACAGGAAAAGTGAAAATCTTATCAGCCATATAAGCATTAATAAACAACTCAGCTTAAATAATAACAAACCTGAATTGTGCCAATGCCAGATTCTTATTCCTTGGTCTTGGCTCCGTGGACACGTGGCATTTTCTAGAACAGAGGTGGGGAACTATGTCTCCTTTATGACTTGTAGACCATGCTGGCTTAAGAATTCTTAGAGTTGAAGTCATAAAAGAGCCATAGTTCTCCATCACTGTTCTAGAAGAGCCCAGTGGTGATATCACAGTACGGCTGGCTGGCTCGCTTTTCTGAAGTTTCATAACTACCTTTGTGTTGTGGAAAGGTGATACTTCATCAAGCATCTGATTTCCTCAACTGCAATTTTCCCCTTTAGTTAAACTACTATCGTACAGCACACTCACCCATGATCTCCAGCTGCACATGCAGGAAGCTCTCCATTTCATCACGCAGGGTGCCATGAGATCGTAGAGGCACCGGAAGGAAACCATATTCTTCTTTGTTACACACGTACATCTGAACTTCTAAACCAATTGGGAAGGGTGAAAGAGTGAATGCACAAAACCAGATGACACAAGGTAATACAAAATCCTACGGCTTTTCCCTTGGCAGGACTAACAATTGGATCAACATCATGCTTCATCTTTATTTAATAAACTCGGGCAAATGATTTAAAGTCATTCCCACCACACAAAAAAACACAAAAACTCAGATGTAGGTGAGTAGCCAATTAAACTCAAACATGGAAGCCAGTTAAATAGAGAACCAGAACTGTTAAAGCTGGACATGAGACCCCATCATCAGGAGGCCATCATGCAGGAGCATGAAGGGGGGGGGGGAAATCAGTTTGAAAACCTGTTTGTTTGGGGACTTTTAGTATGGCATACAGAGAATCCCACTGACACTGACAACGAGGTGTGAAGATTTTAGTCTCTAAGATTTAAAAAAAATGCACTTACAGATTCCCAAGATCATCAGCTTGGATTGTTAGATATTTTTAGAGGCTGTCCTAAGCTGAACTGAGTCAGGCAGAAAATTAAGTTTATCTGTATTGCTCTTGGCTCCTGCTGTTGCCGCTTGAGTCTCACTCTATTACAGATCTCTCTCACATGTATACCTTCATCCAGCTAATGCCAAAAGGGTAACTGAGAAAACACAACAGTGTCTTGGCAACTGCATTTTCTTTCTCTTAGAAGGAGACCTGCTAGGTTTTAGAGGTCAAAGCAAGACAGATTTGCTTGCCAGAATCCTGCTGTTTGGAAGTGGGAGAAAGTAGTCAAAACTGCTGAACCATCTCTCTTATGACAGCCTTCCCCAAGCTGAAGAAGGGAGAGTTGACATCCCAAGAGAATTGGGAAAGACAGACCAGTTGCAAATGGACAGTTTTGAGCTGAAAAGCCAACTCAGCTTGGGATAGAGTAGACTGACAATCATATGCATAAGGTAATGAAAGATATGATATGATTGGTCCTAACAAACAATGACTCCGGCTTAGCTCATGAAAAAGGAGATGCTTGCACTGTAGATTGACCAACAGGGTTAGTAATGTCTTCCTGACCAAGGAAAGGCAGCATTTTTCTCACCTGCCTGTCTGCAGGCAAATGCAAAGACAATGATGTCATCAAAAGCCCAGGTATAATCTGGGTGGGGAGGGTAGAAAACAAGGTTTTGTGAGGCCTCTTTCTGTAGGTTGATGAGGAAGGTAGAGTGCACCATGGGTACAGCAAAGCAACCTTGGCGATCCCGCTTCCGGATGGGTATGTAAGCAGGGGTACGCTTATAATAGCCCTAAGAGAAAGAGAAGGAAAATTCCAGGTGAGCTTTGCTGCAAAGAGACACAAATGGGGAGCCTAACTTAGGACAACTTGTAACAGCAGCAACTGGGGGAAAAAAAAACGCAAAGCCTCATCGTAAATGTAAATGAATATTTTAAAACTATAATCTTAAGAATTTGTAATCTAGTACATCTGCCAGCAGAGGAAGAATTGATAGGCTATGTGAGGCTGTGGGGTGACAATGCTCAAAGACCATCTGGTTAACCATCATTTCTAAAAGCATTTCACAACCCAGGACTGCATCAGGAAAAGGAAAATCTGCTGATATTCCTGATTTCATTCTGGAGTGGCCTTTCTGACCTTGAGGCATCACTGAGGTCTGGATGAGACAAGAATGGTGGGGCTTACCTGGTGCAAACCCATCTGCCAATTACTTTGCAACGAGGCAGCACAACCCTGCTAGTGTCCCCTATCGTGGAAAGTTGTCTAGTAGTTTTATATGCTTGCCGCTGACATGGAAAGTTCAGAATAAGTTAGGGCTGTAGGGCCTATTGCCAATTCTGCTTCCTAACATGTTCCCTGTTAGATGGGTTGTTATTCTCTTGAATAGCAATGGTGTCCTTAGGACTTACTGGAACTGGTGGGAGTTGGACATTCATGGATGGTAGATCTGTCAAAGGGAATTCATCTTGAAAGTTCATTGTTATCTCCAGACTGGAGACAGCATGCATTCAAACACCATGTGCGGGGGAACCACAGCAAGAGAATGCCACAACTCCATGTCTGGCTTGGAATAGCTCAAACGTACTGGTATTTGGCTAGCCACTGGGAGAAACAAAATACTGGAATAAGAGGACCCAACAAAGCTATTCTTGTGTTTCTATCCAAGGATCATCCTGAGGAATCCCTGGTAGTCATGAAAGCCACAGGTGAGTCCAAATAGTAACTGGAGGCACCCTAGTCAGTAAGCATTGGCTTGACCTTGTATTTTGTTGGAAATAAAGATAAAGCAATCCGGTTGAGGTGGCAGCAGAGGGACTCCTCCTGTCATGACCAGTGCCTGATTCGGTCTACATTGCCATCATTGGCTGTGGCTTCAGCTGCCAGGAAAAAAAAAGCCCTGGAATTCGGCCATAACATCTGAATCTGCATACCTGTGAGGTCATCCCACACCAGAAGTTTGAATAGGCTGCTCGCGAGTCCAGCATTGGTGCCACCACAGTCTTGTTCTCAGCTATCAAAAGGCCCAGAGTGTCAGGATTTGTTAATAGATTGTCTGCATCCACAAACTGCATAAAAGAGCATTAAAAAAGAAAGCAAAATGAATTCTACATCAGCCAATTCTACTGACGGTTATGAGTCTGTGTAATAACTGGTCAGTATGCAGTCTTAACTGATCAAGTACAGTTCAAGAGAGTGATTAAGTTATTGGGCTAAGAGCAGGGAGACCCAGGTTGAAGTCCATCCTTAGTCACATAGTCATGGGTTAAACCTATGCCGAGCTGGTCTTGAGCCATAATAAAGATACTACTGCTATTACTACTACTGCTGCTACTACTGCTGCTACTACTACTACTAAACTCCCATGAACCATTCACTCTTCTCAGACCAAGTTACCTCACGCATAGCTTTTCCTTAGGCAGTAACTGGTATAGAAACAAAGGGTTACAAGTGCACAGAAGGATTTCTCCCTTCAAATGTGGAGTAACAGAAATACATGATTTATGTTGCAATTCAGCTGTAGGGGATACCCTGCACAGCCTGTTCAGAAATCTCAGACAATGAAAAATCATTCAAGGATGACGCAATGTAACCAGAGCCAGGTTCTGCTCACAGAAGCTCAGGAGCAATGTGCACAATGGGAGTCCTATCAAAATAAACCTGCCAATGTGAGTTCCACACCGGAAAAAAAAACCAAAAAACCCTCAAAGAAACCTGCCAGCTGACCCAGATACAATTTCTGTAGGTACTACTGCTTTTCCTGCATTGGCAGAGAAAACATAATCTGTATTTAGCCTCAGTGAGAAAGATCCATTTATACAAGTTATCCAGTGCCAAAATATCTGGGCTGGAGACCAATTCTTCATTTCAGAACGGAAGTATCAGTCATGAGCAGCCAAGAAGCCAACCCCATCAAGACCAGCTGTTCTACTGGCTCCCCCTATGCTCTGAAATTTCAGGGCAGCTGCTCTTGTTGGGAGAGACAAACAGAAAAGGAATGGGAGGCAGGAGGGGAGAACACACAATGGACGAGCTGAGGAACCTCAATTACATTCACAGACCGTAAAGTGTCAGATCCAGCCAGCTTCAGAAGGTAATATCTAAACCAAAGGAAAAAGAATCAGCCTTCAGTTCTGTTGATATTCCATATAGTGTGAACGCTAATACTGTATAGTACACTTGTCATACTCTACATCTGATAGGGTTCTTTGGGGGTGGATTTGACGGCATTTCAGAAAACATCAAATGGGCAAAAGGAATGAAGTTGTAAAAAGCACTATGAATACAGAGGGACGATGACTAACAAACATGAAAAAGAGATGACAAGAGTTTTTAAATTTTATTCCTGTCTTCCACCCTCAGGCGTTTTCTATCTCCTTCACTCTCTAAAAGCATCAGGAACCACTGCATGGAAAAAAGAAAAAAAAAATGAACATCCTGGTAAAACTCACCTGGATGAATTTGGCTTCCTGGCCAGTTAAAGAAAACAGGTAAAATACAATATAAAACAGAAGCCTAATTTCAAAAATATCTACTGTGTTCCAAGAAAATATATTTATTCCTCTCCAGAGTCAAGATCTAGGCAAACTAATGTCCTTCAACTATTCTGAACAATTCTTATAGTCACCTGCTGCTGAGCCTGCTAGTTGCAGCTAATAAGAGCTAAGTCCAAAATAACTGCAGGCTACTAGATCCTTCAGAGCACATCATGAGAAAGGCAGGGCTAGATGAAACAAAAGTTGGAATTAAGATTGCCGGGAGAAATATCAACAACCTAAGATATGCAGATGATACCACGCTAATGGCAGAAAGTGAAGAGGAACTAAAGAGCCTCTTGATGCGGGTGAAGAAGGAGAGTGCAAAAGTTGGCTTGAAACTCAACATTAAGAAAAACAAAATCATGGCATCCGGCCCTCTCAATTCCTGGCAAATAGATGGGGAAGAAATGGAGGTAGTGACAGATTTTATTTTTCTGGGCTCCAAGATCACCTCAGATGGGGACTGCAGCCAAGAAATTAAAAGACGCTTGCTCCTGGGGAGGAAAGCTATGGCAAATCTAGACAGCATACTAAAAAGCAGAGACATCACCCTGCCAACAAAAGTGCGTATAGTCCAGGCCATGGTTTTCCCAGTTGCAATGTATGGCTGTGAAAGTTGGACCATAAGAAAGGCTGAGCGCCAAAGAATTGAGGCCTTTGAACTATGGTGCTGGAGAAGACTCCTGCGAGTCCCTTGGACTGCAAGGCATTCAAACCGGTCAGTCCTAGAAGAGATCAACCCCGACTGCTCTTTAGAAGGCCACATCCTGAAGTTGAAACTCAAATACTTTGGCCACCTAATGAGAAGGAAGGACTCACTGGAGAAGGGCCTAATGCTGGGAAAGATTGAGGACAATAGAAGAACAGAACGACAGAGAATGAGATGGCTGGATGGAGTCACTGAAGCAGTAGGTGTGAACTTAAATGGACTCCAGAAGATGGTAGAGGACAGGAAGACCTGGAGGAACGTTGTCCATGGGGTCGCGATGGGTCGGACACGACTTCGCAATTAACAACAACAACTAGATCCTTCTCTAAACTTAAGCAGAAATGCACAATGCAACCAATAGACTGAGTAACCAACTCCTAACAAATCTCTATCTCGGTTGCCATATCTTATGTTCTTTAACTAAGATCACATCAAAAGGTGCTCCTATTTAAACTGGAAGCAAAGAATTATGTAAGTGTGTATGTGCAACACACACATACAGTCATACTGCTGAGAACTACAAATTGGCCAGCATCATCATGGAAACAGACCCAGGAAGAAGGACTTGACAAAACCTTTGCCTCTGACAAAGCCCACATGCAACAAAGCAACAAAATGCAGAAATATTGTTTGGATCCTACACAAAATGAAACAGCCTCTCAAAAAGACCCACATCTGATTCAAGGAGGCTCATTGAGTTGTGCAAGGCCAACCTTATTGGCCAAGCATGACTTTTGGCTAATACTTACAGCTTAATATTCGACAAACAGTGGCAAATCTAAACAGATAATGCAACGGAGTGAAGGTTATACATTATTTCAAAAGTGGGCAAGTCCCAATGCCACATATGGACAGTCTGGAGTCTCTGAGCCTCTCGGCAATCACTTAGCTGAGCAGAGGATCAAATACAGGCTTGTACAAACCCCAGGACTACAACAACACAACCTGTGCTGATGCTGTAAGGAGAGATCCCAGAAAGACAACAATCCAATCTGAGCAAGGCACTCAGTCCTGCCACCAAGCTTCCTTTCTGAACTTTCCTTACCAGGATATAGTCGGCCCAAATGTCTCGGGCAGACTGCAAAGCTGCTTGTCGGAGCTTCATGATATAGTCATAGCGTGAGGTGGACCAGTCTTTGGGGCCTTCTTCATCTGGATAAAACCTGTAAGGAACATTGAAGTTTGGGGCTTTGTAAAGAATAATTATCTATCCCAACATATGCAAGATAGGATTCATAACCAGTAATATGTTCTGGTGTATTTCTTGGCCCATATGTTACCCAATGACCCGTATGTTAAAATGGATTTATTTCTCATTCAATATTGTTCCTAGTTTTTGTATGAAAATTAACAGAAATTAATCACTGTTCAGAATTATTCCAATTCACAAAGTACACAAAAGAAGCCAGAAGAAAAACACCCAAACCAATATTTGAAAAGGAGTTACTGGCCTTCAAAACCCCTCGACTTAAACAATTTGCAGTACCAAATGAACAATAACTTATTCCAATCTTCCACAACTTGTACATTCCCAGTTTGCTGGGATTATACAATTCAATACTGCCTTTTCTCTAATGCTATGCAATTACTGATTCATTTGTTCCTGTTCCAAGCTATTTTTGCTGTTTCTCCTTGGTCTTTTACTTACAGTAATCCTTTGGTAAACCTTTTCTATTTCATGTATTTTAATGGCCATGTTTTGAATGGTAGAATTGTAATCTAATAAATCTGGAAGATACGGGATTCAGGGAGGAGGATGGAAACTTTTATCTCTTTAAAAAATGAACGTAACAATCACAACAACAAAACAAGCACTAAAAATTGTATCAGAGAAACAAAATCAATAATAATAAAGCTAAATTCATCAGAGGAAACTACAGGTAATCCTTGACTAAACACCACAGTTGCGATCAAATTTCTGCTCGTAAGTCATTACGGTCATATGTCATAAGTCACGTGACTAGACTGGATTGTTTTGCGTTGATTGCTATGTAATCACTGCAGTCCTTAAGCAAATCCATGGTCATTAAGTAAAAGTTGTGATCATGTGACCCCATTTTGTATGGGGGTTTTCTGCCAGAAACTGGCAAGATATGTTACAAACTAAGGTCTCGTGACCACAGGTCACTGCAATAAGTTGTAAAGTTGACCCAATTGCCAAGCATCCTAATGCAGTCATGTGATGGGGGGGGGCATACATTTTACAATAGCCAGTAGTGCTTTATGAGCTGTAAAGCATTCTTCTGGATTGTTGTAATTTCCAACAGTCATTAAGCGACTGCTCCTACGTCAAGGACTACTTGTAACTCCAAAGGTCCGCCTAAATAAAAAGATTCAAGAGCCAGTCACAGATTAGGTAGAATGGAGGCCTCAAGAAACTACGTGGGAGATTATTCAATCTATTTAAAAGTCCCTTCCTACTACCCAGATCTCATTTGGTAAACGAAAGGGCATTGAGGAAGCAGAGTTCCTGCAAGTCAGCAATTGATGAATGTATATAGAAGGTGTACGTTTAATTTTTAAAAACTTTTGTATATTTTTTAAAGTTATGCTTTTTAACTCTTATGGCCGCATATTCACTTAAAAAAACTAAAAAAAACCCTGCTGAAATCTGAGAAATTAAAATACCAGTAATAGTTTTAAGGACAATTTGTCACATCAAAGTTGACAGTTGAAATATATGAAGCAAAAGAACATAAGTTCTGGGTATATGTACAAAAAGAAATGACCAAGATACTTACAAGTCACTTAATGCATTTTTACAGTGACTTCTTGCGGTGAAAATGCAATTAGTTGGCATTCGAATTTATTTATGCACTTCAATGCAAGGACCCTTCCCCATATATTCCCATGGGATTTGGCCACTCTCTTCAATTCACTCATTCCTACAGTTTTTGGATGGTAGTAATCTCTGGCTTATAATCTTGTATTCTTTGTCCACAGGTCCCTCAGGTGCTAATCCCAAACTGACTGATTTATTCAATATTGCCATTTCTCTTTTTGCAGGTTATCCATTCCAACAAGGCTATCAAAACTCTAACACATTTGCAGTTATTTCAGTTTCTCCTTCAGAACTAATTCCATTTTCAACTCCAGCTTCCACCTTTTTTTTTTTTTTTTTTTTTGCCTTCCTTGCCCACTAAGAGTTCAGCTCCTGTGCTATCCACCCCAAGCTCACCTGGGATGATCCATGGGCCGCCACTCCACTGAGTGATACATGCTCTGAACGTTCATGAGCCATTCCCGAAGCACTGCAGTTGTGTTATCCATGTTGTGATCTGTTGCCACCCTGAGAGAAGAGTTTTGAAAGATGAAATACTACCTTACACTGAGCAGTTTTGCAACTTGTATCACCTGCCCGAGGATAAGCCTTTTTTTCTCCCGTCTCCATGAGAGTCAGATTTAATGTCAGATTTTGTTTTATGCAATTCTGAGCATGGGATGTAGTTTGGAAGGGCATGCCGAACTTCAGCTTTGAAAAAGAGAATATGCTTTGTAAAATGGGTGGTCAGGAATGTAGCATCCGTCGGTAATGCTTTTTCTGGGATCATGTAGCATCTGCAAAATGCTTTTTCTGGGATCATGTAGCATCTGCAAAAGATCGGCCACACAGTCCCAGGAAAAGATGTACAGATAGTTCTCAACTTACAACCACAATTGAGCCCAAAATTTATATAATAATATAATAACAACTTTATTGTCACTTTGAATGTACACCAATCGGCATACATCAAAATGAAATTTCGTTGCATACTGCTCTCAAAGGGTCACAACCTCTGATATACATTCCTTGTTCATGGCCAGCTCAAGTTTCAGATCGTCCATTTTAATCTCTAGGAAGTGAACGATGGCAAACAGGACAGGACAGATGGAAACGGAGCTCCATGTGGATTAGCCCTCAAATTAGCTTGTATTCCTGCACAACAACCTTGCCTCCTTTCCTTTTTCTGATCCTGACTCTTCCACCTTTTCCTTAAAGAGGCTGTGAAGAGAAATATTTGTGAAGTGAGTTTTGCCCCATTTTATGACTTTTTTTGCTACAGTTGTTAGTAGCAAGTAAAGTTAGTAACACAGTTGTTAAGTGAATCTGGCTTCCCCACTGATCAGCAAAAGCTGATCCCATGACCCCGGGACACTGCAACCATCATAAACATGAACCAGTTGTAAAGCATCCAAATTTTGATCATATGATCAAGGGAATGCTGCAACGGTCGTAAGTGTGAAAAATGGTCAGAAGTCAGTTTTTCAGTGATGATGTTAACTTTGCACGGTCACTAAATGAACTGTTGTAAGTCGAGGACTAACTGTACAGGAAAAAACGGACAAACATGGTCTGATAAGAAACAGAGGAGATATGATAAGGGAAAGAACGAGGTTCATGCTACTCTTTAAAGCCACTCCTGGAGACTAGATGGGTCTCTCCAGGGCAGGGGTCTTCAAATTTGGCCCTTTTATGACTTGTGGACTTCAACTCCCAGAATTCCTCAGCCAGCATGCCTGGCTGAGGAATTCTGGGAGTTGAAGTCCAGAAGTCATAAAAGGGCCAAGTTTGAAGACCCTTGCTCCAGGGGAACTGCCTTTCTTGCAGGCGTATTTTTAAGCCTTTCAAATCAGCCCTACCACTGCTCAACGAGCTCTGTGCTCCAGAAGAAAATGCATTTTTCTCTCTCTCCTTGCTGACACCTTAGACAGGCGGGGTCCTTGGGGCTCTCCGAGCTTGCTTGTTCTCTTGCAGACGTTTCATTACCCAGACGGGGTAACATCACCAGCGGTAGCTCATCAACCTCGAGCTACAAATATTCTCTTTCGTTAGTACCTTAGACCTCTCCATTCACGAGCGAGGGCAGCTTCAGAGAGGATCTACTGATGTTAAACGTGCCAGGGTGCTGCCAGCCAGCAAATCTTTCTGCCCCCCCCCCCCGCCAGTGGATAGCCGCGATCCAAGGGAAGAGCTGCAAAGGCTACACGTGGAAGATAACGTCATCTGCACCCTCAGGAGAATTCCAGACTCGGGGCAGGGTGGAAGCCGCCGCTTCCTTCCCCCCCCCCCCCCGCCGCCTCCTTCCCCACCAAAGCACAGCCTCCTGGCGCCGAGGCATTGGCCGAGCAGCGAGCGCAGCAGGGTCCGCCCGCGAGCCACTCACCAGAGCGCGATGCGGTCCTTGGGATAGCTGAGCCTCTCCAGGCAGCCCAGCGTCGCCGGCAGTGAGTGAGCCGCGTTGCGGGCGAGCAGGGCCAGCAAGACGCGCGGAGGCCGCAGCGGGGATTCGGGCACCCAGCGCTCCTCCGGGAAGTAAGCGCCCGACCGGCGGGCACTCCATGTCGCCAGAGCCAGGAGGCAGAAGCAGAGCCATCGAGGCTTCATAACCGCCGCCGCCGCCACTCCCTCGCCTGCCCTCCGACAGGAAACACGGTCTTAAAGGGGCAGGGGAGAAACTCCTCCCAATCCTGCCCTCCGACAGATACGTGGAAGGAAAGGCTTTGCCGAGGGCGGTGGGCAGTTCCTATAAGGAGGAGTTCTGCTCGCCCCGAAGGAGCGCTCCCGCTTCCAGGTTCCTCGCCTCTCCTTCGGCTCGGTTCTGCAAAATCAACGTACAGACTTTTTTGGCTGCAAAAGCCACGCAGGCAGGCAGGAAGGAAGGCATTTGTCCGCAATGGTATAGGGTCTCTTCCTGAGCAGGGGGTTGGACTAGAAGACCTCCAAGGTCCCTTCCAACTCTGTTCTGTAATTCTTAATTAGATTCCTGTAGGATCATGGGAAGGAGGAAAAGAAGGAAGGAAGGAAGGAAGTCTTTTAGCAAGATGTAAGGCTGATGCCGCTTGAGGCTCCACCCAAAATGTTGGGTATCCAAGACCACTGAAGCAATAATGTCTTCTCTCCATAACAAAAGTCCTTTTGCATCTGGCCAAGGCCTGTCCTTATCCCAACCTTGTTTTCTTGCAGCTGGTTGGTATTTGAGGGCTGTTGCCCCAATCCAGAAATAACATTATCCAGAGATAAAGCCTTGCCTTGTATTGAATGGATCCAGGTTAATTGAGGAACCAACACACCCCATTAGGACAGTCCCACCCTACCTGTCCCACAGAAAAGGCAAGCTGCAGGCCCCGTCAGCCAAGAATTTTCAGCTGATGGGGTCCAGGAGAAGAACCTTTTCTACCATGCCTCCTGCCCTTTGGAACATCTTACATGTGACCCCCCCCCCCAAGTGAGATCTGCTCCCACCCCTCTGGACTCCATAAGGGCCTGAAAACCTTGTTCTGCCAGCTGGCTTAGAGCCCAAATAGGGGAACATCATGCTGGAGACAGTTGGTGGATTAAGAGAAAATCCTACCTCTGCCCACTGCGCATCCTGCTTCCTCCATCTCCATCTTTTAACTGTATTTTTTTTCTGATTGTATTGCTATTTTTATAGTTCTTAGAAATAGTTTTGTGTTATGATTTTATAGCTTTTAATGTTATAATCCATCCAGACTAACTCCGAGGCGATATGGGCAGCAAACAAGCTTAATAATTAAATAAATTCAAGGATCATCTGTATTTCCTGTCCTGCTTGCCCTGTCTGGCAAGAGGGTGACTCATTAACAATATCTCAAGGACAGGAAGGCACAACATTGTCCACAACTCAATGATGTGTTGATTTTGTTTAGATCTAAATAGAGCTAGTTTAGATTTGGGCTGCCCATCTGGTTAATGGTTTTTGGGTTTTTTTTGCTGATCTTATGTTTTTTACACCATCCAGAGTCCATTGGAGTCGGGCAGCCAATAAATATGACTGATGATAGAAGCCTTGGCTTGTTTTGTCTGCTTTACATTCACTGTGATCTTTTCAAACATCTTCCCCTTTATTGGTGCTTTGCAATCTATTCACTATATTTTATTTCCTTGCAAGGTTGTTATATGGTGTGGTGCCCTCTCCCCTCTATGGCGATTTTATCCTGGGCTCCTGAACCAGTGAAATGATGAACATTTTCTTTTTAACAAGTATGTAGTGGAATCTAGAAGAAGGAGACCTTTAAAACCACTCATTGAGTGAACAGTGAAAGATTGAAGCTCCGTCCCCTTTTTTTTTAAACCATTTGAATTCTGCCAGCCTCCTTTTCTAACCCAAGAAATGGAAGTAATGGTAAAACTGTGGTCCTTCCTTCCTTCCTTCCTTCCTTCCTTCCTTCCTTCCTTCCTTCCTTCCTTCCTTCCTGTCTCCAAGGGATGCACCAGACAAAAAGATGTCAAGGATGAGGGGGACGCCTACAAAAGGTCAATCATTATCACATGTCCTCAAAGATCTTCTAGAAAGAAAAGAGATTGGGAGTTTGCTTTCCCCAACACAAATGAGTGAACGTAGTGATGCAGGAGAATCCATCCTTTAGTCAGATGACACGTAACTGTGGTGTGGAGATACCACCAAGCCCTCAATGCAGCCAAAGCAGGGTTACAAGGGATTTCAGAAGCTATCTCTGCTTCCTATCTATGGGGTTGCTAAGAGTCCATGATGTCTTGATGGCATGTTATCAGTCAGTCAGTTACTCCATAGAAATCAAGCAGCTTAATTCTGCAGTGTGGGTACCGCCAAGTTTCAAGACTAATTCCCCTTGATGGACCTGTCTTCTGTGAGTTTTAAAAGAGGACCCCTTTAAAACTACTCAGGTTAGTGGCTTTCAGCATATCTTGGTCTTATGAATTCCATTTTTCAGTCATGTGCTATGTGAAGAAATGCTTTCTTTAGTTCAAAATCTCCTTTCACTCAGCTTCAACTGGATCGCTGTCACCCTAGTGTTTTGACAGATGGAGAGAAACTTCTATTTTCTTTCCGTTTACATTTTCTCTCCCCTCCCTCCCCCAATTCATTTTCTCCATGCCATAAAAGGTTTTGCACCCTTGGTAATGTTTTCCCCACAGTCACTTGTTTTCTGAGCATGAGAGTTCCAAATGTTCAAACTTCTTATAAAGAAAATTCTTGAGCCCCTGTTTTACACTCCTCCCCCATGATGAATCTTGACCCTGTGCAAAGCAGGTCTCTAGAGGTTCTACAAGGTATTACTAAAATAAAGCATAGTTTAAAACAGTGGTGGAGAACCTATGGCACGGGTGCCAGAGGCGGCACTCAGAGCCCTCTCTGTGGGCACGCGTGCAGTCGCCCCAGTCCTAGGCCTTCAGCTGGGTTTTATAAAACATTTTCGTTTTAGGCCTCCGCCGCCGTGTACAAAAAAAAAGGTTCAATCAATCAACTTCAACTTCTTGCGAGAAAAAAAATCTTGCAAAGTTGGAATTGATTTATTGAACTTTTTAGTCCCACCCTGTCTGCTGTTACAACCACAGCCACGCCCACCCAATGGACCACACCCACCCGGCACCCAATAATGCATAAGTGGGGTTTGGGCTGCAGTTTGGGCACTTGGTCTCTAAAAAGTTCGCCATCACTGGTTTAAAACATCTTGTAAAATTTGTTTCTATGTCCTTCTCAAATCAGAACATTTAACAAGCTTCAGGAGAATTCAAATTGAAAGTTGGGCTGTTTCAGAGGAGTGCCACTTCAATCTGAATATCTCTTTGAATCAGCCTGATTAGATTCAGCATCAGGTCCAATACTATTTTCTCTGATGGATGAAAACCGTACACATTTCAGGAAGAAAATGGTCGTTTTCATCCTCACCCAATCCCTTTGGCTGGAAATATATTTTTTTATTCAATTTCTATAGCCACCTACCTCAATTCGATTGACTCTGGAAATGCCAAGAATAAATCTGAGATCCAGTGCATAAAAAGATAGTCTCCATCACTGATGATGCATTAATTCACAATTTAAAAACTTCGTACATATTGGACTGGTTAATATAGGATATTTAATTACTCTACAGATGATCTCCAACTCCAAGAATTGTTTGAATTCTGCAAACATGCTAATACATTTTGCATCCAAGTCTAGAATTTGGAGAAGTATTCCATTGCTCTAAAATTTTAATGTCAATAACCTTGTAAAAAAGTAACTGAAAAATACAGGAGTAATTATTTGAAACTGACCCTCTGCAAATGCAGAACGGATTTAGGAGCAATTCAGATTTCTTCTTGCTTATAAAATCTTTCAATTAAACATTTTTTTCAGTTTCCCACAACATCTGTCTTGCTAGGAGCTGTCAGTTAGACATTTTCAGCCCCTTGATTCATTTCTTGGAATTGTTTGATGGCAGAAACTGCAGCTGCAAAGAGCATCCCATAATAAACACAACCCCAGTTAACCAGGTGGGTAGCAAAGCCATTCAATCAGATGTTATGAACAAAACAAAATCATAGTTGGCCCATTTGAACATCTGGAGTTGCATCAGAACAAATCTGAGCTCCAAGCACACTTTCTTCCAGGACATTCATAACACTTTCCTTATTCAGCCCCTAGATTAGAACAACAGTTTCCTAGTTATACACATCAAAAGGCTGTCCTGTTCAATGCCTGTTTTTTTTTACAGTTTAAAAATTCAAGAAGTATTTTGAGCCATAGCGAACTATCTTTGGTTAGTTATCTTATTATGTGACAAATCTGTTCCGAGGAAAACTATACCCTTAATACATTGTCCTGTCCATATTTAATTAAAAGTAAATACTACACAATTTAATGTTGCTTTTCATTGCTACAGTATGCCCCAGTGCATGTACTAGGAGTTATTGGTAAGTAAATATAAATCAGAGCACCAAAGCTTGCTGTTGCAGCGGTATTAGAACTTTATAATTGCCATTGATGTCTACATGGTTTAAATGAACTGATTATATTTTACATTAGCAATTGTATACTTAGGAAAAGTCAAAGGATTTACTTCCACTCCTTTTCATAGAACAGATGGTCTATCCAGAGGTCCCATTGAAGTCAGTAACGCGTACACCGAAGAACTGTAATCAGGGCAACCAGTGCAGAGCAGACCTACCCAAATATATTCAAAAATGAATTCCAGACAGTTCAGTGAAAATTCATCCTCAGTAAATATGCTTAGGATTGCAATCTTTTTTCTGACTATGTAATGATTTGGAAGCATATCCACATCTTAGCATATTTAACTACACCTAATAACACACAACTGGATTTAAATTTGGGATTGGGAAAGACACAAGCATTTGGCAGATGAAAATTCCTGTCTTTTGTTATTTTTTAACATGAAGATGCAATAAAAGGTAGTGGGGAGAACCCATAGTTGCCTATGGCTTGTAATCCCCTCAGCCTTCAATCCCACCGGGAAAAAAAGAATAGTCACAGTCTTTGATTTTCATCACTGGGGGAAATATCAGGAAAGATGAAAATAGAACTTGCGAGTCTTGCAAATACAGCAGTGTATATGCACTGTGAGGAACATAATAAATGCATCCTGCAGAAAAATGGGGTCATTACTTTAGTCATCCTTGAGGAATCAAAGCTGATTGACCGGAAAGATTTCAGTCTCCCAAACAATGTGATGTAGCAGAGCAGACAATCCCTTGCTTTCTCCTGTTCCAGATATATTACAGCTTGCAGAAATTGACAACATTTGACTAAGGATGCCATGCGAAGAACAAGCTTAACACAAATTGCATTATTTTGTGTGACGATACAAATGATTTAATTTCTGTCATTTAAGTAATGACATTATTATGCGAACGCTGTAAGTCACAACAGAAATGCTGTCCCTTACAGCGTCTGTGACATTGAGGGACAGTAAGCCATATCGTAGTTTGACTAAATTTTTGCAAAGCCAGTGGTGTTAAGTTACACAAAGGATATTTTAAGAGTAAAGAGCTGATGCATCTGTCTTGTAATTTTCCATAAAGAAGAGCAAAGCAGCACAGGAAGAAGACGGAACAAAGAGTACAGTTGTGGGCCTGCCCTACCATTAGGCAGAGTGAGGCAACCGATCTACTGTCGGTGGAAGATACTTGAAGTATCTTCTCACCTCATTCTGTCTGGATACTTTACGTTACCCTGCTCTGTGCCCCCAATCAACTATGTAGTCCTATTAACTAATGCTAGAATGAAATTTAACTGATCTTGAGCTGCAGATGCATTTTTGTAAATGAAATTATGGGGAGGTTGTTATCTGCCTCTTTGCTCTGGACAGCAAGAGTGG